GAGGGAAGGCAGCTAGTCATCACCACCCACTGCCAACTCTTGGGTTACTCTTTTACCAGCGAATAGTGGGATTGACCATCACATTATAAAGCCCCGACGGCTGAAAGGGTGAGTATGTTTGGTGGGACGGGGATTCGAACCCGCAACCCTCAGATTGCGAGTCAAGTGCCTTAACCACCTGGCCATGGTTTAAAAATGAGCTATCATCACAGCATTACATCACGGAGTAGATTTTATTGAAATATTTCTTTGTAGATACAGTTATCAATGAAAATGTCTTGCTTTTCTGTTGCAACATCCATGAGATTTTCACTTAAGAAAACTAATAATTTGGTAAGTTTTTTTTATTGTTTTATATTTGAAACTTACTCCTTTTTGTTTATATTTTTTAGTTGGTTAAATCTAAAAATATTATTTTTGTGAAAATATTACCCGCGATCCTCAGATTGCAAGTCGAGTGCCGTAACCACCTGGCCATGCCAGGTCTATAATAATAATTTAAAGAAAAACTTCATATAGGATTGTTTCTGTTCAATTATAACAAACTAACGATAAAAAGAAAGTGTAACAACTCTCGCGGTGATATTAAAACATCGTAACAACCTTTTTGATTTGATTGCACTGACACTCCTGTAACAAACTGTTAAATTATTCAACAGCCTTTCTTTATTTTATCATGTCCATTATCAGCTAATTATTATCTCACCAGTAACATAGTTTTGTCAAAGATTTGCTTATGTGAAAAAGGTAGCACTACTTTGGCACAACCAACTCTAAAAGTACATTTTATAGTTTCTGGGTAGAAAACGAGTTACTGTGGAAAGTGGCATAGAAATCAAGTTCCATACGGTGATTTGCTTTTGTTCTGTACCAGTAAAACTGAACAGTAAATCAGTCTTTTCTTGTTATGTACCAGTAAAACAGTCTTTTCTTGTTCTGTACCAGTAAAACTGAATAGTAAATCAGTCTTTTCTTGTTCTGTACCAGTAAAACAGTCTTTTCTTGTTCTGTACCAGTAAATCAGTCTTTTCTTGCTCTGTACCAGTAAAACTGAATAGTAAATCAGTCTTTTCTTGTTCTGTACTAGTAAAACTGAATAGTAAATCAGTCTTTTCTTGTTCTGTACCAGTAAAACTGAATAGTAAATCAGTCTTTTCTTGTTCTGTACCAGTAAAACTGAATAGTAAATCAGTCTTTTCTTGTTCTGTACTAGTAAAACTGAATAGTAAATCAGTCTTTTCTTGTTCTGTACCAGTAAAACTGAATAGTAAATCAGTCTTTTCTTGTTCTGTACCAGTAAAACAGTCTTTTCTTGTTCTGTACCAGTAAATCAGTCTTTTCTTGTTCTGTACCAGTAAATCAGTCTTTTCTTGTTCTGTACTAGTAAAACTGAATAGTAAATCAGTCTTTTCTTGTTCTGTACCAGTAAAACTGAATAGTAAATCAGTCTTTTCTTGTTCTGTACCAGTAAAATAGTCTTTTCTTGTTCTGTACCAGTAAAAC